GGGCTCCAAGGTCAAATTCAATGACTTGCCCTTATTCCCTTTTGAGTCTCTGCTGTCCCACTGACCTGCCTCTCTTCAAGCTGGGCAACTCTCTTTGGTCTTACTTGGGTGACCTTTCTGAAGGTGAGCTGGTTAGATGCTAGAAGTAAGTGGGATCAATTCCAACTTAATGGGAAAAAAAAATTACGTGACTGGTGGTAGAATATAGTGCTGTTATGAGAAGAATCATGAGAATTCACTTTTTGTCTCTTTCCTTTATCCCCCAGATTGCCAGGTGGCAGCTAACATGAGCCTCTTAACTGCACTGGACTCAGAGATAAAACCAATGTGCTAAAACCTTGTAAAAGAGGGGGACTTTGAAATTCACTTAAACCAATTCTTTCCTGATAACAATGGCATTTGTGAGTGCAGATGAGCTTCACCGACTCATCTTCTTCTCTGATCTTCCTTCCGCTGACTTGTCCTGAGGTCAGCAGAAGGAAGAAGTCCCTATTATAGCTCTTGTCCTTCATCGACAGTGTCACATTCTGACAGGACTCATTTTCAACTTTGATGAAATAGGGCAGCCTCGGGAAAGGGCTCTGACTTGAGATCCAGAAGGGAAGCCTAATTCCCATTCCTCATTGAGTTTTTTAAATTGTAACTGTGCCTCAGTTTCCTTCCATGTACAGTAAGGAGTTTGGCTTATACCAGCAATTCCTGAACATTTTCTTGGTGCCAGGATTGAGTGAACTTCTAGAGAAACTCCTGGAAGTTTGTTAAATACACAAAGATTCTAATTCTACAAATCTTGGGCAGAATAGGGCAAGGAGGACAAACCATACTTCTACAAAGCTTCCTGTGAATTTAGTCTGTGGTCAAATCTAATATTCATGGGATGGATGACCTCGGAATTCAAGGCCGAGTATCTCCTGCCTCACGCCTTCTATTATTCCACTGCTCTCCCTTCTCTCTTACCTCCATTTCTGAATCAAATCAGCTTCCCCTTTCTTGACCACATCTCCTTTTCCTGCCCCAGGACAGACTCTTGCTCCATTCACTGTCTCCCTTCTCCCCCTAAATATTCACTCTCAAGCTTCTGGAAAGAACATCTAACATTCCTTCTCTACAAAGTGCTCATCTTTGGATTCCAGCACATCCACACACAGAGCTGACATGTTCACTTGCTGATCACCCTGCCCAAGTTCACAGCCACCTTTCTAAATGCCTTGTCCTGCCTCAGCAGCATTCAGAATTCCCTAATACTTAACTACACCCTCCCTAATCTTTGCAGCTCAGCTCTCTTTGCCCTGTGTTCTCCTGGACCCCTCCCTGCTTTTGGAGTCTCTCTGTCTGCCTCCCCACTTGGTTTTCCTGCTTCCACCATACTCCCTCCCAATAGTTGTTCCTTTGCGGTGTGGAGAGGGGTGCTTCCCTCTGCACCGCTTAAGTCTTCCCTTCATCTGCCACAACGCCAGTAGGTCAGCCCCGTTTCCCCTCTGCTAAAGAGGCCACAGTGAAAAAGAGCTTAAGAGTTTCCTTTCAAGATCTAAGAGACCCAGAGTTCAATCTCTGGCAAGTTTCTTAACTTCTCCAAATCTCCGTCTCTTCTCCTTCACAATGTTTGTGAGAAGAGACTTCCTCACTAAGCCCAGTGGCGCCCAGTGGCGCCCAGTGGCGCCTCAGCATGAGACAGTCCTGGAAGCACCAAGCCCAGTCCCAGGCTGCATATAACACTTGATCAGTATCATTTCTTAGCAATAACCCCCAATCATATCTATAGCCCTAAAATATCCCTCATATGACCCTGGGCCAGTCACCCCAATCTCTGAACTCCTTTTTGAGCAGCCATAGAGTGGTAGTGAGGAATTGCCCATCTGGGTCAAACTATTTTTAGGAAACAGTAAATATCTCAGACCCAAAAGTTACCTGAAGAAATGAGGAGGGAATGTGGATACTAGCCAGGGAAAGGAGGTATGCAGGCCCTCTAAAGTGCGATGAGAGCACTTCCACATGAACGAGAGAATTAAATAGTAGTCTGACCCAGTACGGGGCTCCAGAAGGGAGGGAAGGTTGGGGAACTGCATCGCACAGGGCTAGAAGCATCAGAACTGCACAGACTTGGAAGAAACACTGGTGCAAAGTTCACCAGATGAGCTACATGACCTTCAGGAAGCCTTTGATGAGGGCAGAGTGTGTCTATCAGAGAGGACTTTGTGAAAGTCAAATGAGGTAATGCATCGTTAAAACAAAGAAAGATATGTAGGTATCATTTTCTGTAACACACTTGCTGACCCTGTTTCTTTATCTGTAAAGTGGGAATATATGTACCCAACTAGAAGTCACAGTGAGATTTAAATAAGAGAGTATTCTTTCAAAACCCTTCGTTCAGCACTTAATGCATAGTTAAGTCCTCAGGAGATGTTAGGCATACTCTTTACTATGGATGTTTCTTTATAAAAACCAATGGGAGAAGTGAATGGTAAATGAAAAGATATTTTATTTCAGACTGGAAGGTAAAGCAAAATAAAATAATATCTAAAAGCATGGAATCAGAGCAAAGCTTCCTGAATGTAGCACCAGAGAGCTGTATGGTCTTAGGAAGGTATATTGAAAAGGATTGAATGAAGTGGCCCATGAGAAGAGTCTGGCACTGAGCCAGCACATAATATGTGCTCAGTAAGCCTTGGTGCTTCCTTTGTTAGTAGATGTTACAGGGGACTCTGTTGTAACATGCTCCTCCTCCATGGAGCAGCCTATGGATTTCAGGCAGTGCTTTCTCTCACCCAGGATGGATCCAGGAGGAGTGAAATGAAAATGATCACAGATATTACAGAAGAGGATAGAGTACCAGGTGACTCCCTTGCCTTCAGTATAAAATGGTGCAGGATATAAGTGGAATAAATGAAAAGATTTTGAAAATTCCTAGCCCACCCTCCATCATTTTTTAGTTGCTACTTTCTCTTTGGCCAGAAAACAGTCCCCCAACTTTCTCCCTGTCCCATAGACCAAGATGGTTGGACCTCTATATGGAGTTTCCCTCAAATTATCAACAACTTGCCCAGCTTCCTGTCTCCACACGGCATGAGTTAGTACACTCCAGTGCTCGCCCTCCTAGATCTCCCTGGCATGTCATGCTGATTTATAGTCTTCCTTCAAATCCGATCCCCCCTCCACTCACTCATCTGTCCCCTCCAGTTCTAGCTTCTGAGCTTTTGTGAGTGATGGCACATGCCCTCCTTTGTGGAGCTAGAAGATTGTTGTTTTCTGGCTAATAAACTTGTAGAGAGATGTGCAACTGCTCTCTTCATCAGAATAGAGGAATAAGATGCTATTTTCTTCATGGCAGGTTGAAAACAATTAAACAAATGGTCATCTCATGTGTAGGGAGGAGACGCTCTGTGGAGGAGGGGGATGAACTGGCACAATTTTGTAAGAGCTATTAAATGGAAGAGGTCACCAACTCCTTCAGGCTAGCATCTCTCCCCCATAGGTAGAGAAAGGTGTGCAGAAAAGGTGGGAGGTGGGCCTCCATGGTGGCGCAAGGGGTTAAGCACAGCACTATGAAGCAATCCTCAGCTACTGCAGCATGAGTTCAATCCCTGCTGGCCAGGCAGCAACACACATGGCACAGCAGACCTCTCCTGTCTCGCCCCCTGCTCCCTCAGCAGTGTATTTCAGTAGATCTGACTGTTCTGTTCCCCGCTCTGTCTCTAGTGAATCCTCTAATCCCCTGCATCTCTGGCCTGTACCCCAGCACTTGTATGTATAAATAAACCTTTAAAAAAAATGAAAGAAAGGGCCTCCCCTGGTGGTGCAGCAGTTGAGCACTGGGCTGTGAAGCTGCCCACAGCCTCTGCAGCACCGATTCGATCTCCCGCTGCCGGCGAGGGTCCCACATGGTGCGACAGACCTCTTCTGCCATGCCCGCTGCTCCCCTCAGCAGTGTATTTCGTCATTCTGCCTGTTCTGTTCCTCACTCTGGCTCTGGTGAATTCTCTCACCCTCCCACGCTTCTGACTATACCCAGTGCTTGTATAAATAAATAAATCTTTAAAAAAAAAAAAAAAAAAGAAAGAGGGCATCCCTGGTGGCGCAGCGGTTGAGCGCTGGGTTGCGAAGCTGCCCGCAGCCTCTGCATCGCCGGTTCGATCCCCGGCTGCTCCCCGGCCACCAGAGGAGGGTCCCACATGGCGCGCAGACCTCTCCTGCCGCCCGCTGCTCCCCTCAGCAGTGTACTTCGGTCCTTCTGCCTGCTCTGCTCCCCGCTCTGGCTCTGGTGAATTCTCTCACCCTCCCGCGATTCTGACTGTACCCAGTGCTTGTATAAATAAATAAATAAATCTTAAAAAATAAGAAAGAAAGAAAGAAGAAAGAAAAGGAGGGAGGAAGACTCACACAATCACTGTAGCACCATATATAACAATGAAACATCACAACAGCCCAACAGCCTGGGTGCTCCGCCCCTCCACAGTGTCCCTCAAACAGAGTTCTAGAATACAGCTTAAGAGTGTCATGCAGCTCTGCATGGACTGAAGGAGAAACTGGCCCCAAAAGGAATGTTAGGTGAATAAAGCAAAACACAGAGGTCTGAACACAGCGGATGGCCTGTAGAACACGCACACCCACACCAAATGTATGTTTCTATACCCCCACAAGCCCAGGAGGGAGTGGAAACAGATCTAGAGTGATCATTTCATTTAATAGCAGTGATTATCTCCAGGGAGGGGCTGGGATTGAAGACAAAGAGAATTTGTTTCTCTTTTTTTATAGTTTAGGGTAATATTTGTGTAAGCTAAAATAGACTAGTATTATCTTAAAGAATGTTTAGGCCAGCTCCCCACTGCATTCTCAGAGGAGAGAAGAAGTCAGCCCTAAGGGTTTCGCTTGTTTCACTTTCATCCAGGCTTGTGGCAGGACAGAGAACATGACCATAGCAGACCCAAAATAGCTGAGCCCCCAAACAAGCAGACAGATGACAGATTGTTCCCACGACCAGACAAAACCACACGGTCCCCTACCTCTCGTCTCAGGGAAAGTCAGTGAGTTCCTTGTTGACTTGAGGACCCAAGGTCTGGATGCTGGGGAGAAAAAGAAAAAAGAAAACAGATTTAGGTAAATGCCCGCCTTCCTAGCCCACTCTGCTGGCTTCTATCGTGTAAACAGAAGAGGTATCCTTTAGTGAGCATTCAGTCTGTGCCAGTGCACCAGGGTAACAGAAATCTCCATGAAAGGGGAGGTGTCAGGTTTCCCACCCTGCCTAATAAGGGGCAGAGCTGAGTGGCCAGGGGAAGCTAGAGAAGATGTGGAGAGACACCAGGAGCAGAGACAAGAGAAGAAGGGGGAGCATACTTTTCGCATTTGGACTTGCACCAGGGACTTGGAGAACACGGGAGAGACACATGGGTGACGGACATTTGCAGAAGCTGACAAGGCAGCCATTACTTTTTTTTTTTTTTGCCCCGAAGTAATTTAGTAATTTTTTTTTCATTTATAGATGCAATATTTATTTTTTATTTTAATAATTTTATTTATTTTAATATATTTTTACATAATTTTCATTTTTTTGTTACAGTGTATGCTTTCTCATCTCAGTTATAGTCCCTGTGAAATTCCCACCCCCAAGTCACCTGTGTACCATCACCATAGTCCCTTGTGCTCTTCCCACCTGTTTGATCCTACTCCCTTCTCCCCCCGCCGCAGAATGTTTCTGGTTTATAGTTGCCTGTTGATTTTTATTTTCACTTTATCATAATAACTTTCTTTTCCTGATCCTTTATTTGGATACTCTACATTCCTCCCAGCAATTTCACTCCTAGGTATCTACCCAAAGGACACAAAAACATTAATTCAAAAGGACACCTGCAATCCTGTGTTTATAGCAGCACTATTTACAATAGCTAAGCTATGGAAACAACCCAAATGCCCAAAAATAGATGACTGGATCAAGATGTGGTACATATATACAATGGAATATTACTCAGCAATCAAAAAAGATAAACTCACACTATTCACAGCAACATGGATGGAGCAGGAAGGGATCATGCTCAGTGAAATAAGCCAGAAAGAAAAAGAAAAATACCAGATAGTTTCACTTATAATCAGCCATTACTTTGATTTGTACTTTGATTTTGCTCCTTTCATCCCAGACTTGTCTGACCCCTTCTGACCCTGTCGTGTGGGTCCCCACCAGAAGCTACCTTAGACTTGTGGCAGGCTTTCAGGCCTTAGCAGCCCTGCTTTGGGCCAACCCTGTTTAGCTGGGCATTTACCCACAAGGGAGATGGGTAATTTGGGGTGTTTCTTTGGGAACGTATATCCATTCTCTTCTTACCTCTTTATGCATGATCATTCACAATCTTTCACACTAAGAGTATGCTTTGTGTTTATTTGGAGGCTGGCAGAACCCTTTTAGAGTGTGCAAGTTTGGGGGCCTCGGGATACCCCTCAGTCCACCTGCCAATACCAGGGATATTAATGAATTCTCTCATTTACTCCTCAGAAAGAGCCACAGGAGAGTTATTATGCTTCTCTTCTTACTAATGAGGCCCAGAAAGATTGAGCAACTTTGCCAAAGTTACACAACAGCTGAGCTGAGGGATTTATACCCAGGAAGTGTGACATTGGAGCACAGTGAACCTCCTAAGTCACTACCTATATGTTGGACTCACAAGCATGGACTGACTTCTTCCATAGAGGCCTGTCTTCCTCTGCCCATTTGCAATGCCTGCGAAGGTCTCAGCTACCACTAAGTGCTTGCTAATGTGCCAGTTACTCACCCATGGTCTTCACATGTACAGACTCATACAACCCTCCAATGGACTTGGAAATTACTAAGGCCAGAGACCCCCTGCAAAAAGCGGTGTGGGGGCAGTTAAGCCTTAGCACCCCCGGGGGTGTGGATTGGGTCTTACTTTATGGTATTCTTTGCTTCTGGATGGTAATGAGTGCCTAGGGAAGGAGCACTGGCTGGATGAAAAGACACATGACTGCAAGAATTCTTCCTCCCACTGCAAAAAGTATTTGAGTCAAGTAAGTATACACCTTGGCAGCTTCAACAAAGAAGAACCATTACTTGGAATTAGCAAAGGACAGTGCAGCACTGCCTGGCTCCAGTGTAGACAAGTATCCTCGCCTGAGACAGAGCCACCATGGAGAGTCTAGCAGATGAATTAAAGCCCTGTGCACCACTCTCTCTATCTCTGTCTCTGTCTCAGGCCTCTCTCTGTCTCTGTCTGTCTCAGACAAGAATAAGCCACAAATGTCATGAATTTGTCACTGGGGGCTTCCTGGCATTCAGGATCCAAAGTCATCTCTACTTGCTGATTCAGCAACAACTGATTCTCCTCTATCCTGGGAGTGAGGAAAGACAAAGAGTGAGCTTTGCTCACACACGTTCAGATATGTGTGAGGTAGTGTTTCCAGAAGCCACATGGGTGCTAGTCTGGGGCTGGGGGGGGAGATAGAAAATGCCTGATTCTGAAAGAGAAACAAGTTTGCTAATTTTAGCACCATGTTAGAGTTGATAATACAAGTTAGAACAGAAGGGTTCATGCTGAGTGGGGGGTTTGGCACCATTTTATAGCTGTCTGTGATGTTCTATAAAGTTCAGGTTTTCAAGGTTTACGAGTTATTTTTAGGATCAAGGAAAAAAACTGCAAATGTTCTATTTTAAGATGATTATTTTAAGAACCAAGGAACTTAAAAATATATACAAAAATCATTTGGTTTAATGTTCATGGTCTTCAGGTGACTAATCAGAATATAATGGGATTCTTTAGCCAGTATTGTATTTAGCCAGTAAAGATATTTAAATTAGCCACCCTTCCTGAGGCAGACAAAATGCCCAAGAGGACCTTCAAGTGCTCTCAATATACTTGTTCTCACCTCAGCCTCAGAGGTTGAAAGTGTGGCAATTCTGATAAGTTTCACAAGTACTGGAGCTGTGACCCAGTAGAGGAACAAGATACAGGGTCAAGACAAAAAGCAGGGGCCTCCCTGGTGGCCTACGGGTTAAGTCTCAGCACTATCACCACAATCCCCAGCCAGGGAGCTACCCACATGGCACGGCAGACCTCTCCTGTCTCGCCTGCTGTTCCCCTCAGCAGTGTATTTCAGTCAATCCTGCCTGTTCTGCTCCCCACTCTGTCTCTGATAAATCCTTTCACCACCACCCCCCATACCTCTTGCCTAGACCCCAGTTATTTTACACAAAAATAAAGAAAAAGAAATCCAAGAAAGAAAGAAAGAAAGAAAGAAAGAAAGAAAGAAAGAAAGAAAGAAAGAAAGAAAGAAAGAAAGAAAGAAAGAAAGAAAGAAAGAAAGAAAGAAAGAAAGAAAGAAAGAAAGAAAGAAAGAAAGAAAGAAAGAAAGAAAGAAAGAAGCAGATAGAATAAAAGGATAAAGACTCAAACCAGGTCGCCATCAAGGATGATTTTAAGGCTTCCAGAGGCCCTTCCTCAACCAGAGACTTACCCCTGCAGGATGAAACCAGGGTCTGACTAGGGAGACCCGCACCCTCCTCCCTGGCTCATCCATAGCATCTCCAGGACTCCCCGGAGGCCAACTGAAGAACAAAACACACTGACCTTTCAAAAGCATGAAGGGAAGAAAATAACCAAAATTAAGGAAACATGAAACAAAGACAAGGAATAGTGTAGTGAAACCACACACACACACACACACACACACACACACACACAAGTCCTGGGCTTTCCCACACAGGAGGAGAACCCTGTTCCCAGGGGCCGCCTGAGACACATCTGACCTGCAGAAGGGAAAGGGTGACAACAGCTTCATGTACCTCTAGTGAGCATGGGTCCTTCGGGGGAAGGCTGGGTGGGCAGAAGAGCTGAGGTCTCCCTCGGGGGGGCACTCGGTGCTGTGGAAGGGCACATGGTAGCTGCTGTCAGGGCAGCCGTGATTGTCTGAAGAGGGGCCTGAGTTGTGAGGTCTGGGGTGGTGATGAACATGGTTGGAAGTGCCCTTGTTGCTGCAGGGGTTGTCCCGGCAGGGGTGGTCCTGGCAGGGGTGGTCCTGATAGTCGTGGTCCTCGTAGTCATGGTCCTGGTAGTCGTGGTCCTGGCAGTTGTGGCCCTAACGGTGGTGGTGGTTGGGCGGCGGGTAGAGGGTGGGGCTGCAAAGGAGAGAGGACACAGATGGTGCCACGTGGAGATGGAGGAAAGGTGCAGAACATGGGTAGAGTGAGGTCTGACCATTGCTCCCCCTTCTGCTCCCTACCTGGCCACTGAACACCCATGGAAATCAAATCTCTTGCTTCTCCTCCTGGCCTTTCCAATCTGTCCTCCACACATTAGCTAGAGTGATCTTTTAAAATCTAATTATATCAGTCCCCAGCTCCAAACTTTTTACTGGGCCCTCTTTTAGCTTAAGCTAAAGAACTCAAGCCCTATCTTTGGCCTGCAAGGCCCCTCCTGACCTGCCCCCATCTCCCTTCCCAATTCCTGTCTCCCCTGTGCTGCCCTCGCTTTGTCCCATCCCACTGGCCTTTCTTGAGCTCTTGGAACATACGAGAGATCTACTGGCTGAGTCAGGGCCTACTGTTCCCTAGTCTCTCTTCATTTGGTGACTCCTACTGAGCCGTCCTGTCTCAGCTAAAAGGACCTTCATTGAGGAGGTCCTCGATATTCTGCAATGACAGTTAGGCCTCTGGTTATGTGCTCTCATACTTGACCATCACCACACTGACGATGTTTCATGGCGATATACTTATTTGATGATTATTGCCTAGTGTGCTTCCCCACTGGACTGTGAGCTGCAGGAGGGGAAATGTGGCATTTGTGCTATTTGAGGCTGCAGCTCTAACACCTATTACTACATCAGGCACATAGTAGGTGTTCCAAATGCATTGTCAGTGAACAAATGAGCAATTGCCTCAAATGTGAGCCCAAACATAAAACCTCAGTCAAGCAGGACAAATAAACTCTAGAGAACAGTTGTACAAATTTCTAGCCATAATAACAATAGTATATTGGACACCTGAAAATTTGTTGAGAGGGCAGAGCTCACATCAAGTGTTTTTTCTACAATAAAATAAAACTAAAATCTGAAAAATAAAAAGTGAGCCAAAGCATGCAACCGAGGGTGAGAATGTAATCTCTTTCAGATATTCAAGACTGGTTCATTCAACACAATTCACCCCCAAACACTTGAACTTGGGTTCATTATCCACCGTGATCCTATAGATACCACCGTCTCCTAAATATGCCAAGTTTCCATTAACTCTAATGGACCAGAAAGACACCATTAGTTGTGAGTGAACTTAGAAATGACCCCATTGCATATTGAGGGCAACAAGTATACCGGGAAATTATAGCTGGTTACACCAGGCTTGAAGAGAAGCCTTGGATGGGCATCATTTAACTTTAACAGACCTCATTTTCCTCTTCTGCAAAATCAGAATTTGAGAACTTCCCTCTCAAAGTTGTGGAGAGAAAAACATACTAACGAGCATAAAAGTTCTCTCATTAGGAACATCAGTCGCAGCTGTTGGAGAATCTTTGTGTGTATCCACCATCTGAGAAGACTATTAAACATATGGAGACCAGACCCTGTCTTACAAGATGCCGATCGGATAGGCACACACTCGAGAGCCCTCCACCCCTGGCACGGAAGACTAGGAGGCACTTTGAGAGGCTCCATATTCTTGATGAGCAGGGGAGGTGGCTGTCAGCATCATGTAGCCAGAGGCCACCCTCCTGCAGCTCAGATCTTTAGGTGCGCCTTTATATTCCAAAGGTCACCCAAAGCAAATGAACACAGCAGAAGGAAAGAATGCTGAGCACTACCCTGTCTCCAAATACCACATCCCTTCCCCTCTTTCAGATGTGGCACCCTTTGGGCAGCAAACTGAAGCTAACCTGCAGGCAGATGTTATTGTATGATTGTCACGCAGTATTTTTTTAAAATTCTGAAGTCTCTGCCAACATGCAAAATTCAGTATTGTTCATATAAAACTTGGGAACTCGGAAAACACTGGTTGCAAATTTCTGCAAGATGACAGTCCCCTAGGTAAGAAGCAACTGGCCCTTCGGATGGATCCTGTGGGTCCCTGCTCCCTTCATAACCTCTATCCCCACCCTCTGACCACTCCTGTCTGTGACCTTCTTGGCCCCCGCATGCATTTGCTCCTCCAATCACAGGATCCCATTTCAGACTGAATCCACCCACTCACAGCTTGGCTGCCCACTCAGTCCCTCACCTTGGAGCCCGATCGCCCCTTCCACAGACATAGGCTCCGGGGTGGCTCACCTCCCAATAGCTGCAGGTGAATGTTGTTCTTCACATCATTGAACCATCCTGGCACCTCGATGCGACAACAGTACACTCCACTATCACTGGCACTGACGTCCGTGATGGTCAAGGACAAACTGCCTGTCCGGATATTCCCCCAAAGCGCATATTTAGATGACTTCTTGGAGACCACTGATGCCCCATCAGTGTGGATAAGCTCCTCGTTGCATTTGGATTTGGGGCACTGGCCTCTGCCCCAGCACATGCTGTTTCTGCTCTGGGACCAGGATGGGTACGTGCAGGGCAAAGTCACCGTCTGCCCCCAGTATGCCCTCACCACTGTCTCCGACACAACTGGAGCTGCAGGAAAGATAAGAAAAGATGAGTGAAGGATGAGGGGTGGCACTGAGTCCCCCAATACGCCACATGAGGAGCAGATGGATGCTTCTGGAAGATGGAGAGAGTTCTAGAGCTTAGTTTCTGATGTGCCCTTGACAGTTGTTGAGTTCCTAACTCAACATGCAGTTAAGTCTCCAGTGATGAGTCCTGAGCCTTTAACCACTGACTCCTGTTGATAGTCCAGACATAGCACCCTGTCCACTGCCTCTCAATGACAGAGATCACAGGCCATCAACATGAAATCCTCAAACCAGCCACCCTTGGACTTCAACCAGTGAGTCTGAGGCAGGAAGACAGGTTGCTGAATTCTATCCCATTGTCTTTTTCTCCTCTCAGCACTGGAAAGCATAATGCAGTGCTCTGAATTCTTTGCTTGGTGTTAGATAATGTGAATTGAACCAGTTTATGATTTTTTTTTTAAACGTTATAACTCAAAGGGACAGCAGGAATTATCTAGAATGCAAGCAGTGGTGTGCAAATGTGTTGGGGGTTAGATTTACCATGTGAGCTGTATGAGCTGGAAGGATCACCATTTCTGAAAGGGAGCACCTGAGGGTCCCATCTCCGGCTGCTCCCCAGCTGACCTGGGAGTTTGTTCCAAATACGTATTTAATTGCCCAACCCTGAGATGTTGCTAGCATAAGCTATAAGGAGAAAGACAAATACAAATATGACCTCACTCCTCTGTGGAATATAAAGAAGAAAAGCAAAGGAACAGACAAAACTAAACCAAACAGACCCTAGACATTTGACTGCAGCACTGAGGCTGCGAGGGGAGGGAGGTGGGAGGGAGAGATCAAAGGGTTGGGGGAAGCTCCATGGATGGAGGACTGCAGGGGCTTTGATGGTGGGCATGGTTTGGTGACACACTTCTGAAGAAGTGTGAACCTGTACCCCTAAATCATATACAGTGCGATAAACCAACATCAACTCAATTTTAAGAAATACAATTAAAAAACAATTGTTCTTCCCTGAGTCAACCTCCAAGGCCCAGGAAAGGCACCTAACCAAGTTCTCCAGGTCATTCTGATGTTGGCCAAGCACCCAGGGTTTGCGCGTCCTGGCAAAACCCTTCTAAGAGTCTACCCACCTCTAGAAACTGGGAAACATTTCCACTCTGCAAATGTAAAGACTGTTGTTTCATTGAATATGAGCAATTGTTCTAAACCAAAAAAGCAAACCAAAAAGGGGGATAGAAGTGAGAGCACTCAGCAGGCAGTGGCTCCGGGTCATGAGGACCACATCCTCCTCCCTCCTGGGGACCGGGGTCCCTGACCATTGCCTCCTCCAAGGAAGCTCCCCAGGAGATGATTCATTCTCCAGTTCTGTGGGCCCAGTGAGTCAGTTTCTAAGGCACGGGCAGTGGCGGCCCCTTCCTCCTGACGCAGGCGTGGGAATGTCCCATAACCTCCTGAAGACCTTGAGCATGAGCCGTACAGGAAGGCCAGCGTGGACTTCCTGGGATTTTCACAGCTGGCATTGGTGATCAAGCCCATTCCCCGTAACCAGCAACCATCCCTGAACTCAGTGTCCTCCCTGTGTCTCGGCAGAAGTGTTTCACAGACTAAATAAATGCCTTGGAAGTCCATTTTGCTCACCATCAAAACTGGGAAAAAATAAGACATTCCCCATTGATGTAGAAGGTTGTAGCCTTGAAAGCTACGTAATGTTACAACCCCTTGTTACTTCAATAAAAATATATCAGTTCAAGAAACTTCTCTGAAGAGGAAATGCAAATGGCCAACAGACATATGAAAAAATGTTCAACATCACTTGTAATCAGGGAAATGCAAATCAAAACTACCATGAGATACCATCTCACACCAGTGAGAATGGCACATATTAAAAAAACTAGCAACAACAAATGTTGGCGAGGGTGTGGAGAAAAAGGAACTCTTCTGCACTGTTGGTGGGAGTGCAAACTGGTCCAACCACTATGGAGAGCTGTGTGGAGATTTCTGGACCTACTAAACATAGAGCTTCCATATGATCCAGCAATTCCACTCCTAGGTATTTACCCAAAGGACACAGAAACATCAATTCCAAAGAGCAACTGCACCCCTATGTTTATAGCAGCACTGTTTACAATAGCTAAGCTTTGGAAACAACCCAAATGCCCAAAAATAGATGACTGGATCAAGAAGATGTGGTACATATATACCATGGAATATTACTCAGCATTCAAAAAAGATAAACACATGCAATTTGCAGCAACATGGATGGTGCTGGAAGGGATCATGCTCAGTGAAATAAGCCAAAAAGAAAAAGAAAAATACCAGATGGTCTCACTCATAGCAGGAATCTAGAAAACTTAAATAAGGGACCAGGAAAATGAATATAAGAAAGTGAAAATCAAAGTCAACAAAAAACTATGAACCAGAGACACTTTTTGGGGGGTGGGGGGTGGGAGGGGAAGGATTGGGGTCAGAATGGGGTGTTTGCAATTGTATGGGGGAATATAAAAATAAAATTTATTATTTAAAAAAAAATGTTAAATTGACAATAAAAATAATGACTTATAAAAAAAAAATATATCAGTTCACTGTTATTCCCCTCAGCTGTATTAGCCATACAGAACACATGGACCTAAAACCAATAACTTCTGAAGAGGGAGCTGGTAATTTAGTTTTTTAAAAGATGTGCAAGAGAGGGATCAGAGGGAGGGAGGGAGGAGCACAGGGGACTGAGATGATGGTGTGCAGGTGCATTGGTGAAGGAAACTCTGTGGGGACTACACCTGAGGGGGTGGGGAAAGCAAATATTGTTTACAAATGAACAATAATGCAAAAAGTAAAAAAAAAAAAAATTAAAAACTGAAAAAAAAAAAAGCTGTGCAAGAATTATTTCTGCTAGAGAAATGATGGTTATTTCCACAGTTTGTTTTCCCCGGTATTGTAGTCGATAAGGAGGCGTCCAACTACTCCATAAGAGAAGACCTGTGAGAAAAACTGCCAAGAGACAAAATCAGCAATTCAGATGAGGAAATAGAAGTGGCCAGTCCATTTCGCCTAGCAGAATAGCAAAAAAGTAGAATTTGGAAGACATCAGGGCTGGCCACCCAAGGACCTAGGAGCTGATTTAGCTGACTGAAGGTGAATGGGGTACAAATTGACACAGCCACATGTGGGGTGCAATTTCTGTTAACATGCAACATGGCTGTGCCCTAGCTGTGCAAACTCATGTTGTGATCTACTTGGGAAAGCGCATGTGCAAAAGGAAACCTATTTGACCCTATTTACTACAGCCATCAGATCTATGTGAATGGAGCAGATCAGGTATATGTGGGTATACTCATCCCAAGGAACCATAAAGAGAAAACTAACAGAATCAGGTGGATCTACTGGCATGGAAACACCAAGCCTTTTTAATACATGAAATGGGCAAATTAATTAAAAAAACATTTTATAAAGTAAATAACACTTCCACTTTCTTTGTGGGCACAGACATGCAAGGGTAAATGCATGAACTGGTGTCCATGGGGCATAATCCCACCTCGTGGGTTTATCACCTGCGTCATCCAAGGAGGGGCTGGAGCTGAGGCTGGTTGTCAAAGAGATTTTCACTTTGTAGTCTTTTAGTTTCATCACCAAGCATATCCATCAGATTAAAAATGAAAGCTACAAAAAGGGATGTGGGCAATTTGGGGTGGCAGAAAAACAACCATTGGCCTTTCACTGCCAGGCTCATTCTGTCAGTTACTGATTCTGAGTTCCTGTAGGAAAGCCCCAATAATCATGACCTCATTATCATAAAGCAAAGGGGATATAGATAATACTAGCCTCAGAAAGAGTTCAAAGGTTCATATGAGATGAACCATCAAATGTCAGAGGAACTTCATAAAGATTAGTACCAGTGAGCCAGGACACCAACATTTAGAAATAGGGCAAGAAATGGCCCCTCCCAACAGCAGAAGTATCTGGAACCAAGGAATCATTGGTGTCAAATCAATTCCTTTCTCCAGAATTACCCAGGGTGGGTAGGGCAGCCTAGGGCCCCCTCCTACCTGGGCTCCAGTCTCACCACCTGCAGAGGGAAGAGTGTGCTCGGCATCTCTGCTTTACTCTAAATTGATCATTTGAGAAAAGGCACATGAAAAAATGTTCCTCCTCTGTTATCAGAAGAGAAATGCAAGTCAAAATCACAATGAGATACCCCCTACCTCACACCAGTGATTATGACTGATATCCAAAAGACAAGAAAATATAGGGCCTCCCTGGTGGCGCAAGGGCTTAAGACACAACCCATGATGCAATTCCCAGCCACTGCAGCAAGAGTTAGATCCCCGGCCAGCCAGGGAGCTACTCACATGGTGCGGCAGACCTCTCCTGACTCGCCCGCTGCTTCCCTCAGCAGTGTGTTTCGGTCAGTCTGCCTGTTCTGTTCCCCGCTCTATCTCTGGTGAATCCTCTCAACCCCCACACCTTTGGCCACCCAAAATAAATATGCATAATAAATAAATCTTTAAATAAATATGCATAAATAAATAAATCTTAAAAAAAAAAGACAAGAAAACAGTGATGGAGAGGATGTGAACAGAAGGGAAGATTTGTGCTCTGTGGGTGGAGATGTAAATATGGAAAGGAAAGCAGTATGGAGTTTCCTCAAAAAAATAAAAAATAGAACTACAATATGATCTACTCATCCCACAAAACCACTAACTAGAAGATATGTGTATATATCCACATGTTTATTGCAGCACTGTTTACAATACAATAGCCAAGAACTAGAAACAACCTACATGCCCATCAATTGACAAAGAGATAAAGAAGATATAAACCTACACACTGGAATACTACTCAGCTTTTAAAAAGATGAAACCCTGTCTTTTGGAGCAACATGGATGGGGTTGTTATGTTTAGTGAAATAAATATGATTTCACTCATATGTGGTAAGCAGAGAAAGCAAACAGATGAACTAAATTAAACAAAAATGAACTTTTGGACTATTAAAAAAAAGATACAAAAGGCATGCATGAAAAACAAACAGTTCTCCAAGCACTGCCTGCTTCAAGAAGGGTTGGGAGAACTCATGCAGTGTCCACCCAGCAGCGGGAAACATGGGTGTAGATCCTGGCAGCTTTCAGCATAACAACCCCTCCTCCCAACACACACACGCGCATACACACACACACCTCAAATTCCTGGGACCAAATGAAGATGAGGGAATGACACTGACAAAGAAAGTGACAGGAATGACTTTCATTCTGTTGACTGCGCCCTGGTGCCCAAAAGGGCAGCTAAGCCCGCCATCCCTGCGGGACAGGTGCTCAGAAGGAGTCTGCAGGAAGGACAGGGGCGCAGAGCTGGACACACCCCACAGAGGCTGTGGATGGTAAGGAAAGACTGTCTCAGATAGGGACCAAAGGCTGCACAGAGCTAGAGGGGGAGAAAGGCAGGAAACACATGACAGAGGCTGTAAGGGCGAGGGAGTATTTTTTTTTTTCTTTGAAATAAAGCTGCTTTCTCTTGTAGCACATTTGAAAGATTCATGTGTAAATAAACGGGCATTGCCTAATCCCAGAAGCCTGGATTGCTAAAGCCAGTCTTATCCAGACCCCTCATTTCATATATGGATGAGAGAGAGCAATTTAGATGTGTCTCCAACATCAACATCAGTGACCCAAACAAGCCCAGAACATCTTGCTGTACTGCGCTGGGCTGCAAAGTGCCAAAGCACAGACCCAGTGTGTACATCTGCATCATCCAAAACCTGGAACAGCACGCAGAGAAGAAACCGTACCTTGAAGCCTTAGCCCCAGCAAAGCAAAAAGCAACACAAACTGAAAAGAAAGAGAACAGAACTATAATAAGCATTCTTACTGAAGCGTATGCCCCGACTAACTGCTGAACACCCTGCAGAGGACATCTGTCCTCCTGCTTTATTTGACTTCTGTCTCTCTTCTTCTTGCAGCTGCCATTTCTAACATGAAAACATGCTACCCCCACCCTAAAGTTCCCAAAAGAGTCTCAGGATAAAAGCCTGTGTCAGAAGGAAAGAGAGAGACCCTCCCAAGAAAATCTGGGGGATGCAGGAATGAAATGAGCCTCTGCTTTCCTGGGAACCAACAGACAGGGAGCTCCGGGGCAAGGCCTGGCTCCACGGACAACGCTAGGGGGTTTCCAAAAACTTACTCAGATAAAGCCACCCGAGCTCAATCACCAGCCAGAGGATGAGAGGCCCTTTAGACATTTTGACTGTTAGCAGAGCCTGGAGTCTGTTTCTCTATTCAAAGTCCATTTCTTATACCTCAGTTAATGCTGACAGGGCAGGACCTTCAAGTTTCATATCTCTTTTTGCCTCCTAATCTTCCCTTTCCCCCCTCCTGAGTGACCTCCCTCTATCTGGGATACATGAGAAAATGTGCTGAGCCACCGGGTGTGTGTACAAGTGTGTGGGGTGAAGAGATAGGCAAACAAGAACTCCCTTGCAGGGCACAGGGGGGTTTCCTACATGTACATGAGCATCCACGGTGTGCCTGTGCACAGGTGTGCCCATGTGCGCCTGTGTATGCAGGTTCATGAAGATCTATGTGTGTGCATGTACTCAAGCATCCATGTGTGCCTGTGCGTGCATGCATGCATAAGTCGTACATAAACTATGGTCCTTCTGGCTACTGGGAAACTTGTAATATAATAAAATTAACACTCCCTCTCATGCCCCATTGTGGATTCCCCATGGGGGCCAAAGGAAAGATAGAGTGAAATTTAACTCTGCACTCACTCTGGGTTCTCCCTCAACCCAGACTCTTAGTCCCCTTGACTAATAATGGACAGAAGGGAAGAGTCAACCGTCTCACAAGCCAAAAACACCACTAGAGTCTGTAGGGCTTCCTAGAGGAGCCATAATGTGATGGTCACAAGATGGGTTCAGGTAACAAGGCCAAGGTCTGCACACGATTCCATCACTTGTTAGTGAACCTCTATATGGGAAGAACACAAAACAGAATTCATGAACATGTCACAGAGCTTGAACCAGAGAATATTTATGACCCTTCTGGATGTTCCAGATTCAGTGATGTGGCCATAAAACAAATTAGAGGAGACTAAATCAATGCTTACCAATGAGATATGTTTTCTAAAACAAATGTATATACCATGTTCATTAGTCACTGAATACTAAATTATATGCCAGGCACTCAGATAACTGAGAATGATGTAAAGTAAGAACTAGATGATATTATTACTCCTATTTCACAGATGAGGAAATGGAAAGCCTTATAAGCCTTAAGAGAGTTAAGTGACATTCACAACTTCAAAGTTGTAGAAACAGCACTCAAGCCCAAGACTTGAATCCAAGCTGGCCTTATAACTTGTTTTTTGATCAACAGAATGTGGTGGAAATGATACTAAATAACCTCTAAGGCTAGGTTATCCATTTGAAGATTGTTCTTGAGTCCAAGGACTGATCCCCAAATCCACACTCTAAATTATTACATGTTCCTTTAAGCTGGGACCCTTAGGGTAATGCAGCCATAAAAACAAGCATACAAGCCCCAGAGAGGAAATTTAAGGATGCCAACAGTTCCAGATTTTCAAAAAAAAAAAAAAAAAAACCTATTTGACTGTAACTAGTCAGACCAGCACCAAACATTCAACATTGTTCACACTAAATGGAGTAGTGAAAATACAAATATTGAGCGAGACTCTGAACTTGGAGAAGATAGAAAATAGGGAGAGGGGATGAAAGAGATTCAGAGACATCTTCCCACTGAACGCCCACTGAACCATGGGATCCTTTACCCATGAAATGGGAATTTAATGCACGGGCAACTGAATGGGCCTAATAAAATGCTTAGAAATATTGGTATTTGCGTGTCCCCAACAATACCTAGCCCTCTTCAATAAGGTCACCAGGGCATGAATAGCAGCCTTGCAAGACTTCCTAATTAGTTTCTAGTGTATCACTTTAAAGATAATAAACAACCAAGGATCACCAGACTTTTGGGAAAGTCTTCAACCTGAAAAAGCTACAAAGACAACCTCCAAGATACCTTTCCTTCCCCCCATGTCTAACAATTTGATAAAAAGACTAGAACAGCTAGGGGCTGGACAGAACTCTCTCCACATAGTATCCTGGGCTCTTTACAGTAAGGCAGTCTTGAAGCAGGTGGCTTTGTTACATAGTATCTGGCTTCCTCAAAACAAGCATTCCAACAGCCCCCAGATTCTTGCAGGAAGAGTCTGCAAAGGTTATGTATGACCCAGCCTTAGGTGTCACTTAATATTCTTTCCATAGCAATCTATTGGTCAAAAGGTACATCACAAGGGCATCCCACATTCACATAAAAGGAACAAGATGTAAATAATCAGAAAGTTTATTAAAGGTGAAGGGGGACCATCTTTTTATATCAGTTACTATAATAATCAGCCAACAGAAGAACACGATTAAGTTTGGAGTGGTGGTAGTGAGTATAATTAATAATTATCTCGTGTATTTAAGGATTTGGAAAATATATTAGGTCTTTGCCAGATAGGTTGGGGCATTTGGGATAAATATTGATGGATACTTAGGAAATTAAGAAAAAGGGAAATTAAAAAGGGAAAGAGGGTTCCCTGGTGGTGCAGTCAGTTGAGCACAGCGCTATGAAGCTTTCGGCAGACTCTGCCGATCATTCTGTCTATTCTGCTCCCTGCTCCGTCTCTGGTGAATCCTCTCACCCTCCTGCACCTCTGGCCTATACCCCAGCTCTTGTATAAAAATAAATAAATCTTAAAAAAAATTTTAAAAAAAGGGAAAGAAAAAATGTAGCAATTATTATAACCAGAAAATGTTGTACATGTGAGAAAGCAACGATAGTATATTTGGTCCATGTGAAAGACAGTCATCTGGTCACTGACATAAATGCTGGCTACTGGTTTTACACAAAAATTGTTATAACTACATCTCAAAAGGGCAGAGAGGAATGGGATGGAAATGAAAGAAAGCAAATCTTGCTCACCCTTTCTGATCAGGTCAATAGATAATGTCCCAATGGATAAATCAAAATAGCTGCAAGAGCAGCTATTTGTAATTAGCAATACAGAAATTAAAGTGGAAAATACTCCACAAGTTTGAATTTTATGGGAAGGAATATGAAAGAAATTCACTATATTTTTAATAATAAGTTTCTTAAAATAACTAAAGTATTCTAAATAATTTAGAATAATTTTGTTATTGGGAATATCTTTTTATTTTGATGTACATATTGATCTATATAGTGCACCCAGATCTTGGTTGCTGTTTTTTTTTAATTGAGATAATATTGGCTTACATTATTGTTAGTATTTTGGAAATACAGGATCCCAACTAAGGTGCAGCCACCATTGTGCACCCGCCACCAATTACCCAGTCATCCACCCTATAGTCCACTGTGCTCCCTTCCCCTCTTGTCCTCACTCCACCCTCCCCCTCTGGATGCTTCAGTTAGATCTCGGTTTCTAATCCACTTTTCAGCACAAGGAAGCAGAAGTGTTGGGGGGTGGGGAACCCACACAATGATTGGATTATGTTAAGGGACACAGAGACTACTAGAACTCGCAATGGTCGAAGCTAGAACAATCTGAGTAACAGAATGAATAGCACTGGGTTATAACCCAAAGTATCAAATACACATTTATGAGTCCACACCGATTCAAATATAGGGTTGAATCTACAAATAAGTGGGGCAGAAGAGACAAATCTGTCCAAAAGCATTGCAAAAAATCTGTGTAGATACTCCCTTCTCAAAGGAGCTCTCACTCCTTAAGTGTGAGCTAGACACAGTGCCTTCCTTTCAAAGACTCCAGTACAGAGAAGGGAGTGGAGGGACTTTACGTTATAGAGACCTGTCAAACACTCCTCAGGCAGGTGGCCAAGGTCAACACCAGAAAGTAAGTCAGGTTGATAGAATATGACTTGAGGTCAGTGACACTGCACCTCTGTCTTTTTCCTCCCAGGAATTCATCATCCCAACATAATCATGCAAAAAACATCAAACACAACCAAATTGAAGAACATTCTACAAAATATGTGATAAGCACATCTCAAAACTGTCAAGATCATAAAATCAAGGAAAGTCTAAAAAACTGTCACATCCAAGATGAGTCTAAAATAAGACAATTAAATGTGATGTGAGGCCTTAGATAGGATCCTGAAAAAGAAAAAGACCATTAGGTAAAAATTAAAGAAATCTTCAGATTTTAGGGCCTCCCTGGTGGCGCAGTGGTTGAGCGCTGGGTTGCGAAGCTGCCCGCAGCCTCTGCAGCGCTGGTTCGATCCCCGGCTGCTCCCCGGCCACCGCAGGAGGGTCCCACATGGCGCGCAGATCTCTCCTGCCGCCTGCTGCTCCCCTCAGCAGTGTACTTGGGTCCCTCTGCCTGCTCTGCTCCCGGCTCTGGTGAATTCTCTCACCTCTGGCACCTCGGACTGTACCCAGTGCTTGTATAAATAAATAGATGAATCTTTAAAAAAAAAAAAAAGAAAGAAATCTTCAGATTTTAGTTAATGAAAATGTATCAGTATCGGTTTGCTAATGGCAAGAAATAAACCCCATCAAATATAGAGAAAACTAGGTGTATGTATGGGAACTTCCTGTACTAGCGTCATAGTTTTTCTATAAATTTAATCTATTCTAAACTAAATTTTAATTTTAATGCACATATTCTTTTATTTTACAAATGCAGTATTAGTAATTTGGTATCTGGAAGAGGTCACATACTGGAGATAAAGAATAAGCTTAGTTTTTTCTCTTCCTAAGTCAGCATCATGGACAGGCTTCAGGAAATTCATAAATAACCTAATATTGAATGCTCGATTTGTATTACCAGAATAAAGCATATTATTCTCAAGAGAGGGCCCACGGTGTCCTACATATTCCTTGCCTTCGTCACTTTCTTTTCCTGTATATAGGGTTTGCTTCTGGATAGGCTGGCCTCTCTCATTCTTATTCAGGTGGAGTTACTTTCATGCATAGCCAGTGGGGATTGGGCAAGTTACCCACACAAAAGCAACAATACGAAATCTTGGCACAATTACTGCAATTTTTCAAAGAGTGGCTACTCCCTATCTTCCAAAGGTCTTTGAGCTGGGATGACATGAACCTGAATCTAATATTAGCCACCACGCACCCAGCAGGTGAAGCCTTCCTGGTAAAAGACCAGATCAGACAGAAGGCAAGTGGGGAAAATAGAGAAGACTTGACCTAGGGCATGGTTTGAGACTCTGAGACAAAGCACATTGATATGCTGATAAATTCCTTTGGGGCTAAAG